CGGAATGCGTATAGGTAAGCACTTATTGAGTACTTACTAGCTACTTACTAACTTTCTAAAACCTATAGTCTGTATTGTTCAAAAAAACTTTTCTTTGAGAGATAAAAGGCATGCCTTGAACAACTTCCAACCTGCGCGCCAAAGTTTAAGAGGCATTTCTATCCTATAAGTAATATGTAACTACTTAGTAACTAATTCAAAATTCTTTTCTAACTACTTTAAATAGAACGTGAATAATGAATACCATCCATACATTAGATGTGTAAATAAATCACCAAACTTTCTTTTAAAGTATTATCATAGCTCTGTTAAAGGTCATACTACTATTAATCTTGACTTTCTGGAATAATTATTTAATGATTTAATTCTACTATCTCAAGAGGATTGTGGTGTGATTAAGCCACTAATATTAAGATAAAAGTATTGCGGTAAGTAATTCTGAACTAATTATTTACTAGTTAATAACCAGTTACTAACTAGTTATAGATTATAATCATATATAAGGCCCTGGTAAACTATAACATCTAAAGTGCGGTGTTATTTTTACTGCACTAGTGCCAGTTAATATCTAGGCAGCTCCTTATATTTTATTTACTTTGCATGGTATTCATTAACATCCTCCACCTCCACCTCATAAGCCACTAGAGCTTATACTATGAGGCATTCAAGACATAATCAGGAGGATGAGAAACCCAAGCTTGACACTGGGTAAGACTAAACTGATTCTAAGCCAATTATTAATTGCTTTGAAAATGCTTTCTAACTGATGTTAAGCTCAATTTCTTCACAGTCCTGAGCTAGAAGCCTTTTATTAAGAATATGGTGTACTCACACCAGCTGAAGTACATTCAGCTTTTATAAATATAGACTGTATTTCTGCAATTATTTAAAAGCAGTGTCTTCTTTCATATCCAGCAGGACAAAACTTCAATAGGGTTATTTACTTATATAATACCCATCCTTTCATAAAGGTAAGGTGGTTTCGAACCACTTGGCAACTACTTATTAAGTGGTTCTAGGACTACATCCAGGAAAAGTATCATGATCCTCATGGGATAATGATTCTGTGTGCTTTTAAAGAGCAGATACAGGTCTTGAGGAAGTTAACTTCTTTTAAAGTTGACATGTCGTACAAGCAGATTTGAGAAAAAGGAATGAATGAAGTTGTCTTTGCAACATATCTTTATTTACATGGGAAGAGTAAGTCTTCATAATTTCCCATGTACTTTACAGGTAGTTATAAAATATTTATTAAGTACTCACTAACTGGTTTATAACTAATCCTAGTTATCACACTCCTTTAAGTTTTTACTAACCAAGAAACAACAGAAGGTTATTACCTTCTATTTAAAAGAGTCTTTACTCTAATTCAGAAGGCAACTAGTCAGTCTGTTGAATTCCATTCTCTTTATTCCTCTAGGATCTATGGGATTGTTGTTGATATGGATTCAAAATAATATACTGGTAGGTGATTATTCATTAACTACTTGAGAAGTACTTTATAACTAACTAGTTAAGGTCTTGGACAGTACCTTTAAGAGATTAACCCTCAACATTATCTAATACTATGGCAACTCAAAGGGATTATTGTATTCTGCTGAGTTCACTTTTTCTAGACAATTACTAAAGCTGTTAGGAGTGTTGCTCAAGGTACAGGAGTTTAGAGCTGTATGGCTAATTTAATTGATTGCAGGTCTGAAGAGGACTATGACCAACTATGCAATCTTCTAGCTGGTAAGTGGTTGATAACTGGTTTTAAAGTACTTTCTAACTAGTTGTTAGAACATGAAGACCTAAAAGTTAAGGTATAGGCTGATCACAAAAAGCAACTGATCATTAAAGCTGGGCTAAATAAAAATTGCTCTAACATTCCAGCTTTTATTTATGATTCTATTCAAAATAATACTAATTCTGCTGAACAATCTCACCATAAAGCAAATGCCACAGGGAAATGCCTGACACTGACTGGAGTAATCTAAAAGTAAGTGCTTACTGTCTTTTAACTGGTTAATAAGCAATTGAAAACCAGTTGATCCAAAACGAGTCCTAACCACCTTATAGTTCTGCGAAACTTGATAAGCAGGATATTAGTCAATACATTAATTGTATTGATTTCAGTATTCACTATTCATATTACATAGCTAACATAGAGACTAATTACTTGAGGCATATGTCTTGTGAAGGTATATATCTCTATATGTACATTCCCTGATTATATATAAGTAGTTACTAACCACTTATAAACCGAGCAGAATCTCGAAAACGCCACTGCTCATCCTCAACACGCTTATCTTCACCTTAGTTAGAAGTTCCTCAACAATCTCAATCACAGTCTCGCCAGTATGTGTACTCGTAATTGCTTTATAACTGATTACTAACTACTTAGATCTATTTCTTCTTCCTAAAGCCTGCATTGTGTTGCATTAAGGAATGCGCTATCTTTTGAGCAACAATAGCAAGCTCTTGAAATAAGGGAGATTGAACTTCGGCTCAAAAGAGAAGAGAATGAGCTTAAAAAGGTAGAAATCGAAATTAAAAAAGGTGAGGAAGAAGTCCGGGATATGCAGCTAAAGAATGAAGAGAAGGAGTTGGAACTTATAGAAAGATAGGAAAGACTCTGGCAAATGACAAGTGAGATATAGGAATTGCTTCTTAACTACTTTATAACTGCTTATAGCCCTTGCTGTTGTATGTCTTGTTCTTGTATAATATAAACTAGTTAAGAACTGGTTTACAATCGATTGCGGGTATATTATAAGTGTATGGAGTATGAAAGGAAATTTTGGTACGTAATAAAAACAGGTGTGGTATGGGTAAGGTATGCTGTTACTTTGATACATGGTTAGTTACAGTCCACCTTGGCAACGGGACGCGTCCAGGTGACCTGTGTACTCGAAATACAGTTAATTTATGCTTGGGTACCCAGTCGTAGACAAGGCGCTCCACTGTTTATTCGATATTGCACGTGACTTGAGGGGCACTGTGTTTTTAACTCCATCACCCCGCCATCTCATTTCTTCACAGGGAATGGCGCCGTATAAGACTTGGAATGACGTTTTAACTACGGGGAAATGGAAACTACCAGTGCTTATTTCGCAGCTAAGGATGAAGGCATAACGGAAACGCAGGCAAATGCAGCGAACGATGAGGTGGAGCAAATGAAGAGAAAGTTAGAGAAATCTCCCTCTCGCCAGCCCCTGACCCTCTTTGAGCATGGGGTAGAGACCCGAAGAACCTCAAACAAATTCTTGGAGGTGAGCCTTCTAGAATATTGCGCAAATCATAATTGACCACTTTTAGGATGCACCGAAGCAGAAGCTTGCTCATCTCCTTGAGACTTCGGCGGACGATGTACACAGCAGATTCGTGGGTTCTGAGCCTGGCACATGCGTCAACCTTGGGAAACCACATGAGCAGAAGTCTCTGAGAACGGACTACGTCTATACGATTCTGGCGCTTAACGACATGTCTTACTCGAACGGTTTACCAGCACTTGGCCACGACGCGAAGGAGTACAGCCTACGAAAGGGAGAAGCATTACATTTCATGGGCGATCAAAAACAAACCTGGAGTGGACAAGGGGGAGGAAACTTAATCTGGTTTTATTGGAGAAATTTAAAGATCAGGAAATAGATTGATCGTGTCGAAAAGGTCGGGAAAGTCCGGAAATAGAGGAGGTACTTGACATCGCAAGGGAACCTCCTGACTGGCGCGATGAGTTTCGCCTGATTGCTGTGCGGGTATCGCCGGTTGTGTGTTAGAAGGATGTTTCACTGCGTCTGTCTGATTAGCATACTCTGTTATCTCATTTTGCAATGATGACATTACCATTAGCAGCATTTGCGACCGGATTTGGAAGGACTGAATGAGGTTGTTGGATGCTACCCTGCTCTGAGGTTGCACAAGTTGCTATCAGGGTGTGAGAAAAGAGATAAATCACTATTTGGACAACTAACCAGCTCTGGGACACTCAAAGGATGAGGATGGTGTGGACTCCGGATCCACTGTATTAGTTTCAGTTGGGAATGTATCACATTCCATCAATATGTCGCTGTCGATTGCCGCGGAACGCTCAACCCCGTTATCCTGTCCAACATCACCCGAACTGTCGCAGGAAAAGCTGTGGTTCTTACAACCTGCATTGATATTTTGACCAGGGTCAACCGAAACTGAAGCAAGCTTTAAAGATCGCTCCCTTTCCTCTGAGATTGAGGCTGTGGCATAATCGGAACTAGCCCCCTCGCCGATCTCTGCAGGTTGCGAATTATGTTCGGAGAGTTCGTGCAGATTGACGAATTGCCTGAGTTTTTGTACAACACAGCTTTGGCAACTTAGCAACTCGCTGGGTTTCCAACCGTAGCCAATAAGACCATAGGCCATTGCAAGCGAAGCGTCACAATCTAGCTCCCGAACTTTCCTCTCTATTTCTCGATAGTTCTTTCGCCGAAACTCGATAAGGCGTGAAAAACCTTTCGTTCTCCTTTTCCTCTCTCGCTTTCAAAGAAAGTCCGATATGGGCAGAGCAACGCTCGGCCACTTGGTTCACAGTATTAACGTGTGGATTTACTCTCTTCACAGTCCGTGACTTGTTCTATGATTATTTCCTGGCATTATTCTAACCGGTGCTTAGGATACATACCTTTATTCTCTGGTAAACAGCATAGCGTCCGCTCAAGATTAGAGGATTAATACCCATCAGGCTATGCCCGTCCTGCCATTTGCATTAGTGGAGAGGGCTCACATCCCTGAACGGGACGGTAGGCATCTAATGCACTTTTATCTGTCCTATACTAACACGATCCCAGTGCAGGCGTGGGTTTCCATCCTCTTGGCCGTCCATGGAGCGGGCATTGCTGTCGGTTCACGTGAGTCTCTTTGGAAGTACCTTTGCTCAAGCTGATGTGCGATCCGATAGCAATATGCGCATGGTGGGCGGATAGGAGCGCCACTCGGCGGTGGCCATATCTACTTGGTCTCTTGGGACTGGTGGGCGTTACCTTCATTCTTTCGTTCTCCGAATCGGTCTCGCTATTTGTCGTCGGCCGCATATTGCAAGGGCTGTCTGGGGCAGTGGCATGGACCGTGCCCCTGGCTATCATCACCGACCGCGTTGGAGTCACTCAGGTGGGTCCCTACTTAGGATATATGACTCTGGGACGAAGTGCTGGCATGTCCGCTGGGCCCGTCGTCAGTGGCTTGGTTTTCCTCTACTGGGGATACTTTAGGACGTACATGCCAGCATTCATTATCCTCGGCATCGACATTACTCTACGTCTACTTCTGGTCCCAGAACATCCGCAATTGACGCCATCTGAGAAGGTGAGGGGGAAAAAGTTTTCGGAGACGCTATATTTGCTCACCACATACCGAATGTGGACGGCAATCTGGGGCTCTTTCCAGTCAGCATTCATCTGTGGAGCTTTAGACTCTGTACTCCCGCTATTTGTGTGGCATACCTATGGTTGGAATTCAATGGAGGCAGGCGGTTCTTTCGTGGCTTTGGTAGGTCCGTCTGTATTGTCGCCATTGGTTGGGAGATCAATCCAACAATACGGCGTTAAGAAAAGTGCAACAACCGGATATTTAGGAACCGGCATAGCACTAGGGTGCCTAGCGTTTGTTAGTCGGGACGGTGCATTGTACCAAACGCTTCTCATGATCTTACTCGTGGTAGCAGGCACTTTTAATCTTTTCTCAGAAATATCGTCCTGGATTGATGCCGTTGCAATGGCGGAAAGTCAAGCCATAGACTACCCCAATCGCTTCGCACCAGGCGGGGCTACCGCGCAGGTCTACGGGCTGACTAACGTCATGTTCGCACTTGGGTTCGTGGCTGGACCACTTAGAGCTGGCTTCGTCTACCAAAGGCTTGGTTGGGCGGCGACTGTACTGCTCCTGGCTCTTGTGACTGTCATCAGTTCAATACCGACAATGCTGTGGCTTGGACGAGCGAGGGCCAAGGAGGGCACAAATGCTACAGCTCCTGTTGGGGCAGTAGTTGCTGTAAAAGACAAAACTCTGGTTGTATGAAGGCAATCGCATACGGTGAACTGTCTAGTACTTCTACGGTGTCTACATATACTGTACCTGACAATATGCAAAGTGTACTGGGATATGGCAGTTGGTTGGCTTGCCGGGGTATGGGAGAGGAAATGTGTGCTACAATGAGGAGAGATAATCATGTATGTTAAGATTTTTGCATATGGACATCCCCCGAGAAGTCAACTTGTTCCATTCGTAGGTTGCATTTGCCGTTACTAGGGAGCTCATTCTTTTCAATGCTTTCAGTCCATATATCAAAGGTATCGTTCGTTGGTTCGGCGCTGGCATCTACGTATTTATCCTGTTGTTTAAGAGCCCTTCTAACAATGGCTGCCACGACTTAGTCCGCGGTTTCGATCTATTATTCGTTTCTAGGGAAATCTAGAAAGGGAATCAGTCTCAATGGAAATACAAAATGTTATCGCACCATTTTCAATCGTCAGAAACCGCAACCCGTTAGTTCACCAGAGTGCTTGGTCTACATCCATCTGATCTCTAATCATTTCGCCCCCTCTCCAGTAATTGACCAGTTGATTTTACAGTATGTACGGGACTTTTCCTCTTCCCCGGATACTTTGACCAAGCGCTCAAGAACAATTCTAGGAAGACGGGCGACGATTGGAGACAAAACACCAGCAAATTATCCTCGAACCTGCCACGGTGCCTGTGGAGTTGGTGCAACATGAAAATAACCATTCTGCTTTCCTTCAGTTTCTCTCTTTCATGGGCATCGGATAAGTCACCCGGTAAGATAGGATGCAGGACCGTGTTGATGGAGGTAAGAAAATCTTCAGTTTTCCAGTGGCCTCTTTGTACGATATTCTTGTAGTTCTCGAAGGCGATGTTTTGGAGATATTCTGGCAGGCCCCAATACTCTGCTAGCTGATACACGGATGCATGCTGGGTGAGTTCACCGTCCTCATCTTCCGTTTGGATTAGTCAATACTGTAGTCTCCCGGGTGTTTGTTTGATATGCGTACCTGGCAGCTGTGTTTTTGGGCAAGGATCGGTCGTATATTCTCCACGACACATCAGTTGCAATGTGCGCCAGACGCAGTGAACACTAATGTACTGGAGCTGCACTTCTGTTTCGCCAGGATTGCTTTGAAACCATTGACGAAAACGCAAACTCTCAGATATCAAGATCTTGCTCGACACAGGCAGCCTCAGGTCGCTGACGAGTATAGTTGCGTCCGTTTCGTCTTCGGGTTTAGGTCTCTTCTCTTTACTGTCATGACCGCGTTGCTTCAGGAAGTCAAAATACCCAGTAAATGGCATCGTGTCAGTACTATAATGGATTACTCTCGAAGTGTACAGGTCGCAAAATGGTTTGCTGGCAAGAGTCACAAAAATCGAGGAACATTAATATGTCTATTTCTGTCTAGGCTCTTGGGCTCGAAAATAGTATAACTTCCTAGCCTTAGACTTCTACCATGACGAATGCATGGGTTGCATGTTTCGGTCTGTATACATCACGCCTGAAGATAGTAGCATACTGGCAGTTGAGCTTGGCTGCCTCTTTCTCCAGTTGGCCGCCGCAGTAGGCTTGATAGGGAGCGTATTGAGCGACATGAGTGGATCAACTTGTTACACTTTGCCTCATGGCAGGGCCACCATTAGTTGATCAATTACAATCTCTGTTGTCTCCGATCATCTCTACGTGTTCAACTTCATATGTGGCACATGCAACGTACACGCTTGTTGTCTACTATAACTCAGATGGTGAATTATGTCGCTCGAGAGTGGGAAATTTATTTCGACTGGGATTTTGCTGAGTGTTTGATGATTGGCTGATATTCGGAAATAGTCAGTAGTTGTCGCCAACGCGGCTGTATTGCTCGTAGCATTAATACATCTGACAGCTCCATACCCCACCATGACAACCATCTTCTTCCTTGGTACGGGAGATCTTCACAATCAAGCCAATACCAGAATGGCGCCCCTCCAAAGCATGAGCTTATCTATGATATGATCCGCAGTGGAGAACTATCTATATCGCAGATGGCAGAGGCCGCCGGCTGCAACAGGAGTACCATCCTGAGAATCTCTTCCAATATACGGATGTTTGGCAGCGTCAAAGGACCGCCCAATAGAGGTGGCCCGACCACGAAGCATCACTCCAGTCATGCTAGAAACTCCTAGAAGCTCCTTGCGATCACCTGCGCGAAAAGCTTTTTTGCAGTCTCGCGCGCGTACATCCGTGTTAATTAGAAGCCTTTCTCTTGCTTCGTTCGTTTCAGAGCATCGCCTAACAGTAACAAATGAGTCATTGTTATTTCTGTCAGGAAGAAAGAATTCCTTATGAACTAGTACTCGGCTGTCCAATGGGACCGTACGGGCAGCCGAATTGAGCTGGATGATTGAATTGTGCTGGGGATCAGTTGAATGGGTCCTCAGGGCTGTATTTGTGTTTTGCGACAAGAAAAGATCCACTCAATCCTAGTCTCTAGTAAGGTTATAGCCCCACCATGGGCGTTGAGAGAGTGTTTTTCTGCCCCTAAAACGAGCAAGGATAACCCCGCGCGGCAGCCCAAAATCACGCTTTTCTGAGCCACATTAAGCTTTTCCCTACTTCCTCTAGCCCCCTGGCCTTCTGGCAGGCCTTCCGCACATCATCCTCTAAACAGTTGGCGTATTTTGACATACTGGGGTGTGGTGGCGGGAAAATTACTGGGAAGATAAATTGTTAGTCTGGTCCGGAATGCTTTTTTTGATGGGGGAGTGCGGTAGTGGAATAATCGGCCCCCAGTTCGATCAGTCCAAGAAATATGTGTCGTGTCTTAGTGCACATTCTTCGCCCTTTGCACCCGCCTGCGCATGACCGAGTCCTTGCGCGGCTGATGCCAAGACCTGCAGGCCACGCCGAGTACCAGCTCATGTTGTGCAACACCACCCAATTAAGTCTACCCAATCTAGCAACCCCAAACAGCTATTACTGTCACCGCCTCAATTACATATCAAGCAACCTCTCCCCATTTATACCCCTATTCCATTGCTCGCCCCTCAGAGACCCTACCTTCAGAACCCATCAACACAATCTCCATCGTACACTACACAATGGTCCGTTTCTCCACCTCCCACCAACCTCTATTTAACTCAGTAGGCTAACAAACCTCCAGAACCATATTTCTGATGCTGGACCCTGCCACGTCCATAACAGAATGCGATTGAGAAAGCCACATCTTAAAGACAACCTGCCAACCCAGCTATGTCTTCTATGCAATCGGGCTTTCTGCGTCGACCACAAGGGGAAGGAGGACGGTGTCTGTGAGATCAACCACGAGACATATTATCGTAACCATCCGGCGGCCCAGGAGTACTTGTATCGGTCGTATGAGGACTGGAAGAAAGAATGTGAGCAGGTGATGGTTGATGAGATGTCGGGGAATGAGAGGGAGGTGGTCGTGGGGAGAAAAGAAAGCGAGTCCCTGGGCAGACACCCCACCTGTGGGTCTTCCAAAAAGCCATGAATTTGACAGGATCCTTGTCTTTCTGCTTCTTCGCAGGCATCGGAAAGCATTTGAGGTACAACTTTACTCCCAATAAACATGAAAGGTAATAACGGTCGCCACTATAACATTTAGACTGAATTACTACTATTTCCGTTGTGAGTGACTTCTCAGCGTCGTTTCACCCAAAGACTGATGTCGCGTACGAACCGCCGGGCGGCACCTACTTTCATGCCGTGCTTGACAAAAGAAACCTGCGTCTTGGTCCTTATAGATCTGCATAAGATCAAGGCAATTTTGCAGAGTCACATCGCAAACAGATATATATATATAAGAAAAAAATACCGCTGAAAGTCTCGTTGCTCACTCGCGACAGTTGTCATTCGGTATATTCCTCCACGGCGACCTCAAGCAGCCCCTGACCTATGATTGATTTAGCAGAGCCCGGCTTAGCAGATATGACATTATTAGTAGGCAGAGGCATCAATTATTGAGATGATCTAGCCGGGAGGACATTGATATTGATCGGAGGACCCGTCGAACCGATTGTCGAATTATCCGAGGGCTTTTCCCGCTTTTCGAGTCGCTGGTCCTCCTTAGCGTATAGCTGATCGCGAAGGCTACCGGGCATATCATCATGGGTCTTAAGGACTCCTCCTTGCTCTATGTATTTGACGAGAGTCTTTAGATAGTGTGTCTTCAATCTGTAGTCTCTTTTCCCCTCTGGGTCTTGCCAGCAATATTGTCCTTGTTGGCGACATGGAGGCCCGGGACATTGAGATGGTAAACTTCCCGCCAGACGGAATGTTGGCCGGAGGCCTGCTCGGCGTCAATCCGAGCGTCTCGGTCAGCAAGTATCCGCTCGGTGGTCGACGATCTTCCTCACAGTGCTTCAGGGAACCGGTGTCACCACCTACACTCTTCGATTGTTTCTCAGACCCTAACGTCAAGTCAAGCTAGTCTATAACTGGACCACCTCTAAATCGTCCCTGTTGACTAATACCGTATTATACAGGACATAAGAGTAACATTACCACAGAAAGTGTATGTTACCTGTGTCATCAGCCGCAAGCTGGTTCCTGCCTAATCGATATTCCCAGAAGTCTGCCGCGTGTCACCGCCTCGAGTAATTGGTGCTCGCAGGGTTCGTGAATGCATGAAGACGCGCGCGTTATCACATCCGATAAATATATTGTCGACACGTGTACCTTCCATTAGCGCCCAAGTACTCTAGAGGGGAAGGTGCATCATATATATAATAGGCGGGTGGGGATATGCAGGGCTTAGATTCGCCGAAATGGAATTTTCTGCCTATGGGCCCGTCGGCTTCCATGAAGTCGTATTATGAATACGCTCCAGCCAAGCCGCCTAGAGGACAGCCAATACGACATCCGCTCAGGCGGCCCACTCTGGTATCCACTTTCTTACACGGGAACTGTCTGTCTGGTTTAACCACTCCCGTAAAGAGTACACAGGTCACCTGGACGCGTCCCGTTGCCAAGGTGGACTGTAACTAACCATGTATCAAAGTAACAGCAT